AGGGTGTTTCAAGGCTTGTCCATTCATGTGTTAGCTTGCAAATACATATTCTATTTATAGGTAAGAGGTTTGACATCTTGAAGTAACCAAAATTTTGAGATAACATGTTATGGTTTGGTTGAAAATAAGAAATCAAGTTGAATAGATTTTCATAGTTCCAAGGTTCAAGTACAAGCATGGTCTGAGTTTGTTGGATGCAGGGAGGTTGCTTATTCACTTTATAATTTAGTGTGATCAGAAGAAATAAGTGAGAGGCTCAATGCATTGACTTATGCATAAAGTTTGCTTTACAAGAATGGAAATGGTAACTTTGTGCCAAAAATGGAAAATTGTCTTGGACAATGGCTCAAACACTTGGGTAATGGATCAATCAATTGTGTAAACATTTAATTATGGAGTAATTTTCAAGTTAGAAGGCCTACAAAGCAAGATTATGCAGCATAGCTATGAGATTAGGTTATGTGTTCTTCATGAAAATGCCTTGTAATTAAAGTTTATCATGCCAACTTCTTCTCTTTGATTCTCCTAGCTCAAAAATGATCTCTTCAAGTTCTTGGACATTTTGTAAAGCTTTAAACATTGTATACAACCTTCATTTTGACCAATCTTACAAAATCAAATTGAAACTAGGTGAAAATTAGTTAAGAAGTTAGGTCAAAAATCTGCCTAAACTTGCCAAAATTTTCACCAAGTGTTTTATGAAAAATGTCATGACTTTATGAGCTTATATATTCAAATCTAAGCATTTTTGGACATCAACCATAAGGGACATATTTATATAATTCATCAAGATCTACAATTTTCATGTTGAAAGTTTTCCTTGAATCATCTTGCATCTTGGTGAAAAATTGCCATGAAGTATTGAAATTATCAAGGTTAAAAATACTTAGAAATTTTCCAAGTATTGAAAACTTTGACTTTTTGTGGACTTTCTTGATTATTGATGATCAAGTTTTATATTTTTGAATGTCTTGATTAATTTTGATCTTTAAAATTTAATATTGACCAAAAAGTCAAAGTTTGACTTTTTGTGTATCAGTTGACTTTTCATCAGTTGATCAAACTTCAACTATCAACCCATTGATCTTGAGAAATGATTTGAGCCATGAAATTAGGTCAACGTGTTGTGTTTGATTCCTTGAGATTATGCTTCAAATCATTAGGTTATGTACTAGGTCAAAAATCATTGATCAGTCATTCTCAATAAAAACCCTAATTTTGACAATTTTGCCCCTTTGATGATTTGAGTGCTTTTCTTGAAGAATTGTGATCAACATTTGATCAATTGATGAATATGACTTAAAAATGTTGATGTTGGCCAAAAATAATGAATTTTGATTGTATATTGACCACAGTTGACTTTTTACCCAATACAACTAATTTTCAATAATCTGAGCAATTGACTGAGTAAATTTGTAGTGCAAGAATTGAAACTTGGAGCAATATTGAAGACCTATAATGAACCATGAAAGTAATTTGAGGCATTAAAAATCCAATTATCCTTGAGAAAACAAAAACCCTAATTTGGAGGCTTAGTGCTTAGAAGGTGAGCTTGTCTGATCAAACTCTTTGAAACTTCTTGAGCATTTGAGATCTTTTGTGAGAAATGTCTTGAGAATAGAGAGGGCAAATTTTGGGGTAAAACACATTGGAATGTTACTTGATATGGTTTATTATGTAGAAAGTAAATTTGAATTTCCTTTGCTTCAAAAGTAGTTATATGTTACATTCCAGTTTTATTTGTATTTGAATTTTATTGTGATCAGAAGAAGACAAATTTCACTCTAAGTATGATATTGACCTATCAAAGTTTCTTGATCCTTGCGTCGACTAATTTCAGAGTATGGATCCCAGCTTCTGAACCTTCAAAGTCTATATCTTCACAAGTTGACTTTCTTCAAACTCTGGTCTTAAGAAGTTAACCTTCTTCAGAGTCTGAGTCTTCAGAGTCTGATGCTCATACTTTGATCCTTCAGATTCTGGATCTTTAAGCTTCTCTTTATTGTTCAATTTTAGTGCTAGAACTTTGTTTATATCACAAATTTTAGTCTATGATCATGCACACTGGAACATATATTATTATGTCCAATTGTTCTTTAAATACTTTGAGATATGGTACAAACCAATTTTGTTTCAACACACTTAATATTGTTTTATTATGCATGCTTTATAAATTACATTATTGGGGCTTATGGTGTTGCAGTCATCCTTTGGAGAATGTGTCTGAGGTGTCGTGTCTTGCATTTTTGTTGATGTTCACTTAGGAAGTTGATTGACCTAATAAGTGGGGTCCAAGTCTAGTCGTCGACTCTTGGCTCATCGACTTGCTCTATCTGATGCCTTTGTGAGATGCCTTTTGGTTTGCTTGTGTCAGCTCACTTTTCATCGAGTCTTTCCTATGGAACGAGAATGTTAGACAGAGGTCAGATGTTGACACTGGTAGTTTTCCTGGTGGTCGGGATCTTGGATATCTCTCACATGGAATTTCTAGTGGACCCCTGCTTCGTTATCTGGTCGGTGGAAACCATAATGCATCTAGCTGAAATCCTATGGTATCTGCAAAATGCACCCCTGATATTTGATTGGTGCCCAATGTTAACTACGAACTTGCAATATCTGGGATCTGGTAACTATGAACTTCTGGTATCTACCAAAGGTCCCCCCTTTACTCATCTTGGTGATGGTTGGAAGTATGGGCACATATAGGTTAGAGAGTGAATCACGAGGCTTCAAACTGACTATCATAAAAACCGTCTTCGAACTTATAAGGTTTTTTTAAAGGAATCGTAGATCTTGATGGAAAGGATCACGGCTAGGAAGCAAATTCACCGAATAGATTGTCACGGATCCTGGTGTTCAACTCTTTGCGCTACTCGATTTCAATATCTAAAGGAGTAGTGAATGATGAAATCGAAAAACAAACATAATTGGAGGCGATCATTTAAGTTGAAAACCAATCGTTTTCTTGATGCGGTAACTTGAGAAGGTTATGAATTAGTGAATTGCAAACTGGATCTAAAATCGCCAGAATCTGAATCTGGAACTTCTACACTCGTTCGACGCTTTTTCGAAGCGATCCTAATTTTCTGGAAACCATAGGAATTGGAAGTCGATTCCCACACACAACATCATTGTTCCTTCAGGAACCATAAATGGATGATCTAACTCCACAAAGGAACCAAAAATGAAGAATGTTGAATAATAACAGTCTTGAACGGTGGCTTCAGTCTCTTTTATGGCAGCGCAGGGTGGACCTTCATGATTAGCACTCCAACGCTCAATTCAGTTCAAGATTCAAGAAGAGTGTATTGAACTTGGAGATCAGAGGTGGTGCACCTAAAACCCTCTTATAACTGTATTAATATATTGAGCTCAATAAAACAGATGAGATAAGTGAACATCATCTTATTGGGCCTTGGCCTGCACATACAATTTGATCCTTTAATAGTTAATTGATTTCTATTTCTTCGATCAAATGTGATGCCTCTAGAGCAAATTAGTCTAATTCATTCTTGATTTGTTCCTACTTCATCTTTAAAAAAGTTGTACTCCCTTTCAACTTCCTTTTGTCCTTGGACAACGGTTATCTCATATTCCTTAAGTTATATGTAAGTCTTCTAAAGGAGAACCTTGATAGCATGTAAAGTTTGCATATGTTTAAGACCATGAAAGGCTTTCTCACGATGATCCTTGGAACTTGAGTAAGCTCCTCAAAATATCACTTACTTGGAAGGATATTCGCTTAAAAGTTTATTCTAAAAGGAGAGGTACCATATCATAAAAATCCAATCAAAACATTGTCTTCTCTAAATTAACAAAGATGTCTCATTAAAGTGTTAGTTTGACTCACTCAAGATCCTCCTGGATAGTCAAGACGATAAGGGAAGAAGGATCATTGTTGCAAAAGTAACAAGTTGATTCCTTCTCAGAGATCTCTACTTAAGGAGAAGGCAAATGAGCTAACAAGAAATCAATGATCTTGGAGAAGTATGAGTCGTGAAAAACAATTTTTATTCTTGAAAATAATATAAAACCTTAACAATATTTAATTAATTTTGTTTCTTTTTTTAATAATTTTTATAAAAAAAATTTACAATTTATTTTTTATTAATATTAACATTTCAATCTAAGAAAAAATGTATATAATTAAAAATAAAAATTTTCTTTTTTTAATTTTCAAAAATAAAATTTATATTATAATTTATTTTTAAAATTATACCGTTTGACAAATGATTCATGTGATTAAGTACTTTGATAAGAGGTTAATCAACCGTCTAATTTTAAAAATATTAGTAACAAGTTTTTACAGCATACTATTATGAACATTTTTTTAATATTTTTAATTAAAAAATCATTTTATATTTTAAGATGTACTTTTTGAAAATTTAATTATTTTCTATATAATAATATTTTGAAGTGTACAAAAAAGTTAGTCTTATTTTATTTTTCAGTATTTTTTTGTGATAAATTTTTAATACTATCATAACATTATCATTTTATTTTTAAGTGCAACCGTACTCATCTCTTTGAATTTTGTTAAAATGTTATTAACACTTCCTCTAATTTTTAAATATGTATTGATTTCTCTTAAAATTTATTAAAGTGACATCGGCATTTCTATAGCTTTTAGTGATAGTTAAAAACAGTAAATATAGATAATATTTACTTAAGATTTTCATCTGTTATTACAACATTTCATTAATATATACATATGTTAAAAGAGGTGTGCATGATTTTAAACTAGAGAGATATCGTGTCTTTTTAACAAATAGAGGAAGATGTTTGTTAATTTTCCCTTAATGTGGTATAAATACTAATATCAATATACCATTATTTTGTACAATATTAAGATACTAGTAATTACCCGAAGAACTGTTTGAAAGCTTAACTTTTACGCCAAGCCGTGAATAAAAATCTATATAAACCAAACTTTTGCACCAAAAAAAAACATCAAAAAGGGAAGAGCGAAACCAAATTGGGAATTAGGGTTTTATACGAAGATGATAGAGGTGGTGTTGAACGATCGATTGGGGAAGAAGGTTCGTGTGAAGTGCAACGATGATGATACTATTGGGGATTTGAAGAAACTGGTGGCGGCACAGACTGGTACAAGGGCCGACAAGATCCGAATCCAGAAGTGGTATACTATCTACAAAGATCATATCACTCTTAGGGATTACGAGATCCATGATGGCATGGGTCTTGAACTCTACTACAACTGAACCCTAAGGTTTTTTCTCTCTCTAATTTCTCGAGATAGTTGCTTTTTTGTTTGAAGAATTTGTTATCGTGTTATTTCTCGTTAATAATTGGAATTATCTTTTTAGTTATTTAGTTATTGATATCGTGTTCATGGTTGGAACGTTTATCTGAAGAAATTTAGGGTTTATGTAATTTGAGTTTATGGATGCCTAATTGCTGTTCTTTGGAGGTGGGATACTGTATTTTTGATGGAGTTTGAAGCAATTTTTACCATTGGTGTTATTTACATGATTTGAAAACATGCATTTTCTCAACATGTGTGATACTAGCTTCTACTTGTCAGTTTTTGTGTTGAACAAAAGAGAAATTCATGCCCTGTCAATTGAACTATGTATGGTTCTGATTATAATTGTGGCTAATTATTATGAGAAAGGAAATATTGTCACTGTTACTTCAATATGTATTGCTTGCTACCTTTGTATTGTTGCCTTCTACACTGGTGTAGATTAGATTGATGAATTATATCTAGATGAATGGGTTGAGTCTAACTTGAACAATTTAGTGCCCAGTTGGATCCGCGATTTTCTAATGCTCCAATGGGTTGAGTCTAACTTGAAGCGGATCCAATACCAAGACGCCCAGAACTATTACTTCGAAAGATGAACCCCTCGATCGACTAAGATGAATTGGAACTGGCTACAGAGGAACCTCTCACTCCAAGACTTCTTTCTTTGTCTTTTGATTCCAAGGGCTAAGATTCCAATTCAAGCGGGAGGTTGTAGTTGTAGACTCTAACTCTTTCCTTTTCTTATCTTGTTTCAGCAGCAGCTCCAATAAGTTAAGATTCTTATTGAAAACTGAACATTTTAGTGCTCGGTTGGATCTGCGATTTTCTAATGCTCCAGTGGGTTGAGTCTAACTTGAACAATTACTGCCTGTTTGGATCCGCAATTTTCTAAAGCTCCAATGGGTTGAGTCTAACTTGAACAATTTAGTGCCTGTTTGGATCCGCGATTTTCTAATGCTCCAATGGGTTGAGTCTAACTTGAACAATTTAGTGCCCGTTTGGGTCCTCAATTTTCTAAAGCTCCAATGGGTTGAGTCTAACTTGAACATTTTAGTGCCTGTCTAAAGCTCCCAATACTAGCTTTTGATAGACATGTGGTTTTTTATATATTTCTGAATCACCTCACCCTGTTTCCTTATAGTGATAGATAACTGTCATATTGTGATAAAAAATCAGTGATGGCTGTTATAAAATCAATTTTGTTAAAAAAAACAGTAAAGTGACTTTATACAGCTATTATGTATTCAGAAATTTGATAATGATGGTCGTATTTTTTTGTTTGTTTTACAGGCTTGTGTTTATGAATGGTGTACTATAAGCAGGCATTTGAATGAAAATGTTATTCATCAAAAGATACTCTGGGTTGTAATAATGTACATCTCTTTATGATTTTGGATTTTACTTGATATTGGAACAACCAGTTGTAACCTATATATAAAACACCACATATCTATCTGACATGTTCGTCGCTTTATATGTACGTAGCATTTGTCTCGCTCAGTTGAATTTGAATTTAATGGTAACCGGGATAACTATAAAATCAGGTTTATCTTCTCTATTGGAGTTTAATTTGTGATTGATGATCTTTTAGGTCAAGATGGTCTTCCAAAATGTAATTGTAGGCAACGGATTTTAACTGAGAAAGCAAGTGATATCTTTGATACTTGAGCTGAATCTAAATCTATTATCTTTTAATTAATCTCCTATATATCAACTATCTTTCAAGTCCAATTAAACTATAATTAAACTATTTGTTACAAGAATGCTCGTATAGTCATATTATATATCTCTATTTTCTATTTTGGCCGATTTGTTTCACAGTTCACAGATCCTTTTGGCTTCTATCCGGCTGCATCTATATTTTTTTCTAATCAATTATAAAGATATAGTATCATTTAACTATATTTCAAGCACCCTCTTGAAATTAAGTAGGGCTAAACCTACTTTATAAAGGACTGTTTTTAGATGGCTCACTTTTTTTACTCCATTTTAGTTGGTTCAGTGAAGATGAATTTGCAGGTGTAAACAAACAAGCAACGGTAACATGCTGATTTTATTGTAGCTAACCTTAATTGGACGATACCAGATTATAATTTACAACAGTAACACGCTGATTTTATTGTAGCTAATCTTAATTGGACGATACAAATTATAATTTTGTTTAACTCTTGTTTCATGGTATAAGTTGATCAAAAATGTTTGAGATTAAAAGTCTGTTTTTTTGTGCGCTATATCCATTTTTGTTCGGTGGTCATTATACTTTTTGCTGGAAGGAAATAGATGGATATGATAAATTTGTTAGAGATATGTGGCAAGAACTAAAAGTGGATGGTGGGGAATGTATGTGTTCTGGATTTGACCCAAAGTGCAAATAAAGGTCCAGATCCAAGCAGCTCTTTGGGGAATGTTCATAATTGGACCATCGTCGAACGTGACCGACCAGACTACCGTTGCAACGCTCGCCGTTGCCCTCGACGAGTAGCATCCCGACCAGGGGAACTCCAGCTCGAGTCCAGCTCGAGCACCCTCCCCGCAGGGTAGATTCTGTCCACTCTAACCGTCATGGAACTCTCAAAGTTCCGGAAAGACCGCGTCATCGTCCTTCCTCATTTTTCGCAGAGCATCATCCAGGAAGGGGACCACGTGCGGGTCCCCACTACACACGTAAAACCTGACAGTTCCTTTATTGGGTCAGTTCTGGTCAGTCCAATGAGGGGACCTTGGCCCAACGTTGGGGACTATAAATATCCTCTGTTCCAAGAGGGTCAGGTATTCATCTATCACACGTCTATATACTTTTTGTCTGTCCATTCCATCTCTTATTTTAGCATCAGAGTGTCTTGCAGGTACCCCATCTCTCTCAAATTCAGTTCGAGCCCGCTATGACGGTCTAAGTCTGATCCGGTAAGATCAGTATGTATTAAAGGAAAAATTAAAAAGGATAAAACAAAATCTCAAGGAATGGGACACAAAATTCACTTACAAAATTTGGAAAGAAGAATTAAGGAGGCAAAAGAAGAGTTCAACAGACATAAATTAAAGTATAAATAGAAAGCCTATCAGAAGTCTTAACCAAGATGATACACTAATATGCAGATGACACACTAATCATCGGAACAAGGAGTTGGGCTAATATTCTAGTAAAAGAGACGGATAAGGCTTTAATGTCCGATAAACCAGTTACCGCAAACCCTAACCTAGCAAGAGTTTAGTCCGAGAGATATCCCAACAAAGGTGTCTATAATGATATGGAAAATGATGCAAAACAAAATAGCTAAAAAGGATAATTTGTGCAAAAGAAGTGTCCTGGATCAAAACGGGCAATGGCAGGAAATTGGAATTGGTATATCATCTCTTGTTCGAATGCCAAATTCTTTCTAGGGTCTGGTCCGAGATATGTCGCAGGTTGGGAAATAAAACAGCATTCCAAAATAATAGTGAAGCACGTTTAGATCAATTTGAAGGCTTAATATATCAGAGGACTGGGGGCTATTTGGAGTGCTCAAGTTTGGATAATTTGGAAAGCAAGAAGTGAAAAAATTCATCACAAAAAATGTATTTGCATTGAGAATTTGGTGGAGGAGGTGAAGCAAACAACTTGGAACCGCATACACACAAAATCCAGCTATTTGATTTGCAACATGTATAATTGATTTTCGAATCCAAAGACTAGTGTACGGTTAATATGAATATTCCGGTGTAAGGCAGTATTCTACAAAGTTAAAAAATAAAAACAGAATTGCAGTTTGGTTTGTGTTGAATACTGTTTGTGCAGATTTTTTTGATAACAGTAGATACTTTGAAGGTAGCAGCAGTAGATATTGCTGTAGTGTTGGTAGCAGGTTTTATGGTATAGCATTATGGAGATCTCTTCTCAAGTGCACCCGGTTCCTGCATAGGGGGAAGGGATTCTCTCCACTAGAGGAGGAGAACTGTAATCTGAACCTTTAAAATTTTCTCTCATTGACTTTGTAATTTTAAGTGGTTAGAATTTAACTGCAAGATAATTTCATGGGAGACAACCCCTTCCCGCTCTAGTCACCATAAGATGTAGAGGAATGGAAGATTGATGTCACGACACAGTTGGCCACATAGGAATGCTGGCTCACATAGCAGCCACATAGAAATGCAGGCTCACAGTGGTCACGATTCAAAATAGAGATAAAGACAATAATTTGAAGGGAGCTCTTACACGAAAGATTTGGTCGAGAAGAAAGTATTCTTTGTATAAAGTCCATCGTTGCTTCAGTGGACTAGATCAATCTAAGAGATGGAAATAATGACCTGCTAATAGACAACTGACTATAGTAGTAGTTCATGATACATGGAATTACAACCCTGATTGCAGACAAGCTTTTTCCAGCAAGAATTGAGCTCAAAGAAGTAGGCCAGAGTATGATATTATTAATTGCAACAATATCCTTGTCAGAAGAGTTGAATATTTTGATCTCAGTATATAACAGGGAAATGAACATCAAGTATATTTTTTTGATTTACTTTTCCTCAGTGAATGAAATATCCACTGTCAATTAAATTAAAAATACCAGTCATAACAGGAACTGGATCCTGAAGACTTAAATTCTTTGGACATTCTCATAAAATTACAATAGACATCTAATTTAGTGCGTACATATGATAAATAACTTAATGTAACTAATAAGAAATTAATTATGTTACACAAACATGACATGTGGTCATTGTTGCGGCACAACATCAACTTCACTACTCTTGTCGGTAGCATCCTGCACATCCGGGAGATCTTTAATAGTCTGCAAAAGCATTAAAAGAAATTATTGTATCACTGATCATGACCTAAGAATATTGGTTGATTAGATTTACTATTTAGGACTCATTTAGGGATCATGATAAAATAAGGACAGATAGAATAAGAGAGCTGGATAAAAATAAAAGAGGATATGAGTCTTAAAGATGATAGATCTTCCTTGATAGAATTCCGTAGTACCTGATACAGAAACCAAGAAGCAAAAGCATCTGTAGCAGCATACTCTAGTTGTTCCTTTGATAAAATAGGAGTCTCCCAATTTCCCATTCTTATTTTGTTGGGCTTCTTAAGCTGCAAATATAAAAATACTGGTAAATATCCTATCAACATCATTCTTTACTTTTTTTCAAGAAAGCAGTTGAAAGTGTAACACCTTCACAATTTTCCTCTCTCCAGGGCCAAAGAAAATTAAAATCAGTGGACAAGGATTACTAAAAAAGGAAAAGTAACGTCGGAAATAAATGCTTAATTGTTATCTCCATTTTGTATAAAAGCAGTGATAACTGATGATCAATGGAGAAAAAAGTGGTAAACAAGGGAAAAGATATAACTTGTGTTGTGGCATTCATTTTTGTCATTTCAAAGTTCCGATGATGTCTATAAACTCTATTCTTCCAACAAAAGGTTTCACCCTTTTAAGAACATAATCAGCGCCTGATCGGGAAGGGACAAGACTCTGGTTTATTAAGAATTGAGCAATCTGCTATGTGGCTTGAATGCCACAAAATAAGAATAGATGAGCAGGTTTGGGACATTGAAGTGGAAACAGTTTTCTCTTTAACCAGACAGTTTTGGAAGAGCATAAACAGTTTCTTTGTGCCAGCAGATGTTAAAAAGAATACTGGAGTAATCAAGAAAATTGGACTCAGCATACCTGTTTTGATAAAAGTTTTTCAGTCAACGATGCAAGACCCCACTTATGAAGACCTCCACCTAACTTTTGATTAGCATGAAAAGAAAGATCTTCTACACCTTTAATGGATATGTCATAATCTCTAGAAATCTTAGTAGCATCACCGCCAATCCCAGCTCCAACCTTGTAAATGTAAAGCATCGTATTAATATATTACTTTAAGTTATGACAATTGATTAGTTCCTACAGATAGAAAGGAAAAAAACAAGAAAATAATTCCAGTTTATTATAAATAAAAACCTTCAAAACTGTGGAATCTTGAAGTAAAAGCTGAAGATTTTGAGGGATTCCAGAATGAATTAGGTGAAGAACAAGACACTGACTAGTGTCACAGCATATCTGCATCACTGCTACTTTCCCAGCCGGAACACCTATAGAAGTTTCATACAATACTTATTCAGTAATTTTAAGTTATGGTAGTCAATGCTATTAAAGAGTTATGGTTTTACAGGCACAAATAGAACAAAAGCTTTTATTCTGACAAAAAGGTATGGCACTACAGACATAGGTAGCATTGCAATAGACTATTACAGACTAGATAATTCATAAGCTGCGTGATCGAGTAAAGAGCCAAACAGAAGACTAGAAGAAAACTGTGAAAGCAGTTGTAAGGGTGCTATTCCCTTAGGGACGTTTTCTTCCATTAGGCTATCAATAAAACTATCGATTTTTTTTTACATGAATTCCGATTTACGCAGGTGTTTCTCTGTTCCGTGGTCCTTAACAAATATAAATTCCAAATCAAAACTAGTTCATCAAATTCCTTCACTCCTGTTTGCATATTAAGTCAACAAAAACATCTTAATATCAGTTATTAAAAGTAAAAAGTAGAAACCGTAACCAGTTATTAAAAGATAACAAGAAACAGAACCAACCTTTTCTGAAGGTGGGTTTCCACTCGATGTCAAATCCGATTGCAATTTGCATCATCTCTCTTTTCTTTTCTTCAATAACTTTTAGGAACTTTGTTACAGCTTTCTCAACATCATTAAAAGTCCTGCTATACATGATTTTCCCACAAAACTTCATTACAGGCAACCGCATCTTTGAATGGCCTTGCAAGAATAAAAATAAATGTCACAAGTTTGATCGGAAATAATGATAGAAATGCATCCAAAATTTTATTCCACAACGAAAAAGAGAAGATGTATCCTCAGCAGGTTATCACACAGTAGAACCATTAGCAGATTCAGGTCTGGGTAGCCTAAACTAATAATCTGTTTTTAAACGAGTCAGTAAACCAGTAACAACTCACTGCATTCTCTTAATCAAATTGAATCCAATTGACTATCCAATATGAGAAGCGAATTTTCAACAATCACTTACAGGAAAATAAAAAACTCAAACAACCCACAATGATTATGATGGAAACTGGTCAAAACAGATGAAGAACTGAATACTGAAGATACTTAATTTATTAAATCTTTGATTAGGAACTTTTAATCTAACAGAGACAGTAGTTAGAGACAAGTGTAAAAAACACAATTAGAGAGAAGAGAATAGAATGGTAACTAACCGCTAATAACCACCTAGGAATTAGAGGGGCTTAGACTCTCCCAACCTTCCAAAACATGAAATGATGAAAATGCCCAATACCCTCTATTTGTCTCCTTGTCTCTTATTTATAATTATGTTACTAAATAACTGCTGCCTTATTTAAATAACTGCTGCCTAAGCCCATTTAAATTTGAGAAGCCCTTTCATCTAACTTCTCCATTACCACATGCAAACTTATAAGGGCAATAATCAGTTAGAAATCAAGGGGTTGCTCATTACTCCTATATGTTTCTTACAAATCTTATAAAAACCCGAAATTGCCTCTGTCGGGAAGATAACTTCCGGACACCTGTACACTTTTGTTCTGTTGGCCTCAAGCATTGGCCTCACGCAGGTAAACTCAAAAAAGAGTATCCAAACACACTTGTGAGAAACATATAGGGCGGAATAAATCGAAAAATCAAATGTTTATTTTAGCTGAGAAGTTCCTTTAAACCAGAAACTATGAAACAAGGACACCAAAAACACAACATGCTACCACATCGATACGGGTAATAATTTTAAAAAATGATTAAATTAAATTAAACGTAATTGCAAGTGTCATTGAGGTCAATGTGCATAATTTTGTCAATTACGAAACAATTCACAAAATGTCAAACGAAGAATCATTGGTAATATCATATATTGCAATGCGTTGTATACGAACACAGCACAAGGGTAAATTGCGAGATAAGTGGAAGAATTAAGAATGGAAGAATAAGAACACCAACAGTGATAGAAATTAGTATTGAAAAATAGAGTGTGGGAGAGGAAGTGAAACCTGGGGAAGGCGAGAAAGAGGAGGAACGTGGGAGTTGAAGAGCGATGAGCGATGTAGGCAAGCGTCGGCTGCTGCGGCGAGTGGGAGAGTGAGAGGTGATGGGGCGTTTATTGTTGTTATTGGTGGTGGTGGTGGTGGTGGTAGTGGTGGTGGTAGAGGTGGTGGTGGTGGTGGGAAGAGAAGATTGAAGAGTAGCTTCAATTGATTCGAGATCTTCTTGAGACAACGGTTCGTATTCGTATACGAAGGAGGCGAGTCGACTGAAACCAACCTCCTCCTTCTGTTTCGCTTCACCTTTCCTTGTACAATCCATCAAATTCTACTCGGAGGGAAAATGATATCAATTTCTGAGGTTTTTTATTTTAGACTTGTCATTCTTATTATTTTCTAATTTTCTAATGACATATGATAATGGTATAGTGAATTTTTTTTTTGAATAACTAAGTATTAAAAATTTTTTTTTTAAATAACCGCGTTTCGGAAAAAATTACGCAAATAATCATGTTTCAGATGACTCCTCAAAGGAGGAGTCATCTCACTTGGCGCCTACACCCATTATTTAAGGGGAGGTGCCATCTCACTTGGCGCTTAGGTGCTTAGAGCATGCCCTAAGCCAAGTGAGATGGCGCCTAAGTGCAATTCTAGGGTAAATTTCACTTCTTTTTTTCGGTCCGGTGTGTTGCGTATTGGATACAGGATCAACAAAATTGACTTTTTATTATAAAAAAAAATTACATCCAAATGTATTACATTAAAAAAAACAGATAAAAAAAACAGATAAATCAGTGATCCCTCAGAACCCGGTAATGACCTCCGGTTCCGCATCCCCGTCCTCGCCTTTCCCGTGCTGGGTGTCGTCGCGTTTCCTGCTGTGGCAGGGTTGATGGCCCAGCAAAGTCAATGTGTTCCGGATCCATGAAATCAGTCAGATCTCCATATTTAGAAGATCCGCTTTGGTACAGTCAGTTACCCATACCCTCAAAGTTTGGTCGTGTTGGCGGTGGGTGGGGTTCCATGGTGGGTCTGTAGCATTGATCATCTGAGTACGGGGGGTAGAAAGCAAATGGATCTTGGGGTGATTGGTATTGAGGATGTTGGGTGGTTTGGTGATATTGTGGTTGATGGTAACTTATGTCGGTTGGTTCATAATCTTCTGACATTCCCAGATCAGGGCTAAGGCTGGATGTTGAGGGGCCCATATTGGGATATACAAAAGACTGAAATTGTGTGTGGGGTATGCGGGTGTGTTGGTATTGTGATTGGAATTGTGGTTGGGTGTGAGGCATATGGGGGTATTGATACTGAGGTGGTGATTGTGGTTGGTTGTGGGGCATTTGAGTGTAATTGTATTGTGGTGGCGACTGTGGTTGGGTATTTGTGGTTCTGTTTCATCTGGGGGTTGGTGGGAGGTTGATGTGTGTTGGGTTTGTTGTTGGGGAAACGAGGGTTGTGCCAATTGTGTTTGTGGGTCAACCAAATACCTTGGATGAGACACGTGCATTTCAGGGTTACTAACCGACTTGTACCAAGATAAATATTGATCTGTGTGTCGCATATTACCATGATTAAGGAAAACTGGGAATTGCAAGACATGTCGGTGATGCCTCTGCCACATCTTACACCATTCTGGAGCAAAGTCTTTCCAGTTGGTAAGACCCCATTGGGCGTAGACCCTTTTGAGATGCCACGGGGACAAACAAGTCGGATCACTGGGTATCTCTTGATGCATTCCGAACTGCATCTTCACACGGTCGTTGTGGTGCATCTCCACAACATTGAACCGTATGATTGCAGTCTTGGCGCTCCAAATTGTTGCATCTTTGGGGTTTGGTTCATGGCCCAAACCCAAATATGGTCTCCAGACAAACTGCGCATAAAATTAAATCAGGTTCATGAAAACGTAATATATAAATAATTTAAAAGTAGAAAAGTTGAAAGGTATGACGTACATCATCCGGGCCTAGGTGATCCAATAGATTGCGGTATAATGTGACATTGAATCTTGATTTATTGCTGTAATCCATACCCCTCATGCAATACCTAAAGGAAATGAAAAATATTTTATTTTTAGCATATATTTGGTGAAGAGATGAACAGTAATAAATGATATAACTTGATGACTTACTTTGTTGCGTACGAGAAAATGAATGTGTTGTTGTTGACAGGGTTTAGGGACTCCATCCTCCACCAACCCCAGGCTTGAAGTAAAAAAGCACAACCATAAAATGTACATTTTTCCTTGATTGCATTTTTGCACAAGAAACTGTATAGGTGGGCTAAAACAGCAGAACCCCAACTATACTTTCTAGTTTTTTCGAAATCTCTAAGTAAATTTAAATACATAAAATTTACACTATTTCCCGTACTTTCGGGAAATAAAAAGGTTCCAAATAGTATCATTAGATAAGTTCTAACTTTTATTACCCTGTCTTGCTCGGAGGAATTTTCGTTTAAATTCCAAAGTTGCATAATGATTTTTAAGCTCAGTTAGTAGTATATCCTGACCTTTTGCACCACCACCTTCAACCATATCCCTGCCCAACAATTCTTCACACAGAGAATTGGGTTGTTGAACCGACCCGTTAACGGCCTTACCGTCAATAGGGAGACCCAGTAACATGTACATATCCTCTAGCGTTATGGTACATTCACCTATTGGTAGGTGAAATGTATGGGTCTCTGGTCTCCACCTTTCCAATATTGCAAGTATGAACTTTGAATCAATTGTGCAGTTAGAGATCTTTATAACATGTCTGAAACCTGCGTATTCCAAATATGGTACGATAAATGGGTCGGGAGCCAGGTAGTTGTGAGACCGAATTCTGAATCTTTTGGTATCCTGAGTTAATAATGTAAAAGGTGTAAGATTAAGTAAGATGAACAAATCATTACCTGAAGTATAAAAAATGTATAACTAAAATAGAAACTTACAAATGAGGCAATATTGTCCCTTGTGCCTCTGAGAATCGCCCATTGTGAGAAGAGCCATTGTTGAAAATGCCTGAGATTATGAAAGACTTAGAAATTGTAAGAGATTATGAAAGACTTTGCAGCAGAGAGTGAGACGATTGTGGATGCGAGAGAAGTATGTTATGCTCTGTATTTATAGGCAAAAAAAATGCATAGAGTAAGTGAGGTGGTAGCTGGTGCATGCATGTATGATAAGTGTCACTCTTGCAGTGTAGGAGCAGGCTAGGTGGCAGCCTTGGAGAAGGCATATATGCATGCATGTAACACGATTGTACATTAAGGGAGGCGTCATTGGACTTGGCGAAAGAGTACAAAAATGAAAGGTGTCGCCATCCCCTCTGGCGAATAAGAGGTGGCATGGGTTGCAGAGTAGGCGCAGGCTAGATGACAGCCTTGGAGAAGCCATGCCTGAATGCATGTAACATTATTGGAGGTGATGAGAGGAGACTTACAGGTTACAGTGTAGGTGCAGAGTAGGTGCGGGCTACATGGCAGCCTTGGAGAAGGCATCTCTGCATGCATGTAACACAATTGGACATTAAGGGAGGCGCCATTGGACTTGGCGAAAGAGTACAAAAATGAAAGATGTCGCCATCCCCATTAGCGAATAAGAGGTGGCATGGGTTGCAGAGTAGGCGCAGGCTAGGTTACAGCCTTGGAGAAGCCATGTCTGAATGCATGTAACACTATTAGAGGTGATGGGAGGAGACTTACAGGTTACAGTGTAGGTGCAGAGTAGGTGCAGGCTAGGGAGGAGCCTTGGAGGTTACATCCTTAGTTAATTCAAATTCAGTATGACCTATTTAGTCTTACATTTATCAAAACACTGATTCACTTAATCTGTCAAACCTTTCAACCTTCCAACCTTCAAACAATCAAACCTTCAAACCTTCAAATAATCAAACCTACAAACCTTTAAATAACTCATAAACTTCAAACCTTCCAACCTTCAAACCTTCAAACAACCATACACAATGGCCTCTGCACCCCAATATGTCATTAGTGCACATTTCAACGGTGAGACATAATTTTTCCCACCTCTGGGTTTTTGTTTAGAGACACGTACAACATCTGATTTCTTTTAAACTGGAAAGCCAATTTCTTGTACTTTAAAAAACGATTGGAGGCCAAACTTGGACGAGGCCCGGTGACATAAATATTTTATCAGAATCCAGTTTTTTTTTGTAACAACCAAATAATATTTTATAAGGTTTAGGTTCAAGATGACGAGGATCTTCAGAATATGTTTTCCAGTCATGTGTATTCTGGGTACGACTCTATTGAGTTGTACATTATACTGCGAGAGCCTCAGGTGACACAAGTGGTTGATCCTTTAGAGATCGAACAAGTAGAGGTAGATGTAGTTGATGAAGAAGAAGAAGAAGATAACGAGTTAGAGTTTGATGAAATGGTGAACGATGATTCCGAAGACGATGGGATACCTGGTATTCCTGAAAACGAGATCTACACACCACCTCTGCACATGACAAACTTCAACATGGGCGGAGATAAACCGTCTTCTGATTTATTTTTCAATCTGTATATGCAGTAGGATAAAAACTTAAAAGAGAAGGACAAGTTTCGTAACAGAGAAGAATGTATCAGAGCCATCAAAAAATTCCACATGCTCAACTCGGTCGATTTTAAGGTGGACCGTGTAAACCCATAAAGGTACAAGATCAAGTGTGTCCACCCTGATTGTATGTTCAAGCTCACTGCATCATACAGATTAAGAGGTGATTGTTGGGTCATAGGTTCCATGTCTACCCACACTTGTGTCAGTTCTACCCAATCACAGGACCATCGAAAACTTAATTACGATCTCATTTGTCAAGAAATCCTACCACCCGTTAGCAACGATCCATCTTTGAAGGTGAAAACCATCATCTCCCACATCACTACGGTTTTTAACTATACTTCGTATTACCGTAAGGCGTGGTTAGCAAAGACCAAGGCGATTGAAAAAGTGTACAGAAACTGGGAGGAGTCATACCAAGAACTTCCTCGCTACCTAAATGCACTCAAGACTTATTCTCCGAGTACTATTTACATTCTGGAAACAATGCCAGCATACGCCCAAGATGGTAGTCAACTAAACGGAAATGGAATATTCAGTCGAGTGTTTTGGGAATTTTAACCTTGCATCATAGGGTTTGCATCATGCAAACCAATTATACAAATTGATGGGACTTGGTTGTATAGGAAATACAAAGGCACGCTACTGATGGCAGTTGCACAAGATGGCAACAACAACATTTTCCCAATTGCCTTTGCCCTAGTCGAGGGGGAGACCGGTGGTGCTTGGAGATTTTTTCTGAAAAACCTGCGAACACACGTGGCTCC